GCGGGGGGGGGAGAGGGAGGGGGAGGTCACTTGGTGCAGCTGTTGTCTCTGGGCACCATGGGAAGCCCCACAGGGCTTTGGTCCTCGCCCATGCCTCTTGTCCAAGAGTCAGAGCGACCCTGAGAGGCTGAGATTAGAGAGGAGGGTCTACTGAGGTGGCTTTGAACTTGGCACTGGGACAGATTTGCTGTCAGTTTGTGGGACTCACGTACAACTTAGGGACCAGAGCTACTTCAGGGTGCAGGTGAGGGCAGGAGCTTACAGGGTGCTGAAGGCACACCCCAAATGAAGCAGGGCCTGAGGATCCTGCAGGCCCCTGGGCTCCCCTGGGAATTGGTGCTGAGGGGATTGTCCAGCACCCTGGCCAAGAGGCTGTGCCAGAGCTCGGAGAAGCCTTGGTCAGATAAGGCAATGGCCGGCTTCCCCAGACAGCCTGGCGTTTCCTACCACCACCTATCCTCGCCTCAGAGCCTTTGCTCAAGTTCGTTCTTCTCTGCGTACTTGTCCCAGCAACATCTACCTGTGGCAATGCTACTCTTTCTTCCCACCCCAGCTCAAATACCACCTCCGTTTACTTTTTAAAAAATATTTTTATTGATTTCAGAGAGGAAGGGAAAGGGAGATAGAAACATCAATGATGAGAGAGGATCACTGATCATCTTCCCCCTGCACACCCCACACTGGGGATTGAGTTGGCAACCTGGGCATGTGCCCTGACCGGGAATGGAATTGTGACCTCCTGGTTCATAGGTAGATGCTCAACCACTGAGCCATGCCAGCTGGGCAGATGCCACCTCCTTTTAGAAGCCTTTCTAGTCCTCGCCCCTCCTCAGTGAGTGTCTCTGCTCATAATATGCCCACAGCAACTCTTTTGTCCTATTATGTCTCATGTAACTATTTTCACGTGGGACTGCCCTAGCCCTAATTCACGAGCCCCTGGAGGACAAACACTATGACTTGCTCCTCTCTACTCACCCACAGCTTGCACATATTGGTAAGTGCAGTACACATTTTGTGTCTAACTTCTCAGAATATCCGCTTTATGAAAGAAAGGACCTCATCCATCCCCAGCACTTAGATCAGTGCCTAGACCACAGTAGTTATGAAATATTAGTTGAGTGGATGGATAATATAATTGACTGTTGAGTCAATTAATAAGTGAATAATGTAAGTTTGCTGGCTTGAACGAAGCCCCTCTGTCCCAGGCCAGGCTATTGGAGATCGATGCTGGACTTTCCAGTGAACCAGAGACCCGAGTCCATGTACAAGATCCAGAATTGGGATCTTGTCTGTAGGTGGCAGGGACTTGGTCATACTAGTTCCTGAAAACAGAAAACGCACCAAGGTCTATGCAAACAGGAGTAAAAGATGTGATAGACCTGAACACGAGGGACCCATAGTTTAAGAAAAAAGTATATAAAAATAACTTTATTTTTACTACCTTCTCTATTCAACCTTGGGGCAAAGTGTAGAGAGGCAGTCTCAAGTTTAAGATGGATCCATTTTACACTTCTCTCCCACTCATTTTGGGGGAGACTTTTCTCCCTCCTTCTCTTTCTTGACCCTTTCTGGGTAGCTGATATCACCAAAATCTCAGCATTAGAGAGAGCTTTCTGATATTCTTTCCTGCCTACCTGTCCAGACCAGGGGAGCCAGATCAACCAGCTGTACCAACATGTCATAGATTGTAACTGGTCACATTACAGAAGGTGGAGGAGGAGGAGGCTTATTAAGTGGTCACATGACAGAAGGTAGAGGAGGAGGAGTAAGCCATTTGTTTCTAGTCCTTCTGCATGAACTGCTTCTTGGCTTCAGTGAGGAGACCAAGTGTCAACTGGGGCAGGAAGGCAGAGAAGCCAGAAGTCCCAGCCTGTTCCAATTGCCCTGTGGTCCATGGGGCTGGACAGAGTGCTGTCAAGTTTTGATCAAAAAGTTATCTTTGGAATGACTTAAGTTAAACTTTAAAAAAATCTAATACACAGGGCTTCTATTCCTTAACAACAACAAAAAATTAGAGCAGGCAGGATCTCTGTAATTGGTGAGACTTAACAGAGGGACCTCAGCATTTCCAAGTAGAGGCCAAGGGAAGATGAGGCCTGGTAGCTGTGCCAACCTGAATTACAATCCACAGGCTCTTCAAATTAAAAGTGGGGCTTGTATCTCCTCTGACCCATCCTCTCATCTCACTGCCTTGCCTGCCCCAAATGACCTGCCAAAGCTCTCCGAGTGGCTCTGGTCTGAATGGTTCTGGTCTGATGTAGGAGATCCCTCCCAGGTCCCCACCAGAATCTTGGCTCTGCTACCCGATGGAACAGGCAGAAAAATGGGCAGAGCCAGGAGGAAAAGGACGTTTATTTCCATACATTAGGTAATCAGGGAAGAGAGAGCACAGCCCAATGAATACAAACCAATTGCAGGAGAGGGGACAGCAGATGGGAGCGGCGCCAGGCACTGCTCTTGGGCCCCCAAGTTTGGTGATGTTGGAGGGATGACCTTTAGTGTTGGGGCTGGGACTGTCAGGCCACATGTTATCATGTCTAGGATAAGTGTTTGTGTGTGTGTGTGTGGCTCAGGACACAGGGTGAGGACCCGTGCCTAATACATATCAGTACTGACCCAAACTTCCAGCTTTAGTTTTTTCTGATCACAAGTCTTCAACCCAAGGCCTTCCCTCTCAAGTTGAGCTTATGGTCCAGAGCGGGAGGGAGACAGTGCTTGGTTGAGCCCCAAACTGGCGTAGGTGGAATGGGTTTACTTTTAAATAGGTCATTGCACTTAACACGCTGACGAGCTGACGAGGAGGAGGGGCTGGACGTTCCGGATGGTACATATGCACCCCGGTCTATGTAGGTTTGCTCAGTCCAAACCCAGAAGCACCTGGAAGCTCTGCTTAGCCGTCTCTCCAGCTGCACAGAGAAAGGGCTGCTCTCCGAAGTGAACATGGAGATGAAATTCCCCGTCATCCTGGGGCCCCAGCTGCCAGCACAGCCCCCGCCCACACTCAGGGATGCAGCTGTGATGGAGAGGTTGGGTATTTAAATTAAAAAGTAAAAAGACAGCAGGCACTGAGAAGAGAAAGCCCTCACCCCAAGCCAGGGGGAAGGAATTGCTGTTCCAGCCCCCAACTCCGCCCCATGGACCCAACAACCGAGAAGGTCCCTGTAGGTGATCTGTCCACTGTCCCTGAGCAGAGGGCTGAGATGGAGGTCAACTTGCTGGCTCCGTGCAGTGCTCGGCCACCTGCCACTGCCCACAGTGGCCCAGGATCGAAGCCAAGAGGGTGGCCTGTTGGAGGCAGAAGGAGCAAAAAGTTCTCTTATCAGAAACTCCTCCTCCCCCACCTCTTCCATGTGGAGACATCAGACCCCACAGCCTGACCCAAGAGGGTCAGGTGTGTCTCCTGCAGATCAGCAGTCAGGTGGGGAGACCTGTGCCCCGCTCTTTCCTGGGAGAGGTGCTGTGGCGGCGGCAGCCCATGGGGTGGGAAGCTACGCGTCGGTCTCCGTTGGCTTGGCCTCTGTGTCGCTGTCACTCGGGTAGCTGTGGGAGTGTCGGGGCCTGGACGTGCTGTCAACAGGGTCGTGCTCTTCATCTGACCGGTCAGGGGCAAGGGACTTCCAGTAGTTGGTGGGGCTGTGGGGAGAGAGGAATGAGGTCACAGAGGAACGATATTCCTAATCTTCAGCACCACAGCCTTTAGTCCTGGGGAGCTCCCCCCCCTCCCCAAGCTGTCATAGCCTTCTCCAAAAGCCACACATTGAGAAGTGAAAACCTCCCCTGGCTTCCCCAGAGGATATTCAGAGTAGTAAGAGAAAGGAGCACATGGTCTCGACTCTGAAAGCTTGGAAAACTCCAAGGAAAGCGATGCCGTAGAGCAGTGGGTCTCAGACTTGAGTGCGTAAGAATCAGCTGCAGGTTCCTGGGTCCTTCCCTGAGAAATTCTGACTCGCTAGCTCTTGGGTGGGACCCAGGAATTCTGCATTTTTAACTCCCTTCCCAGAAGATTCAGGTGCAGGGAGTCCATGGGCCACACTGATGTGGAGACGGAAGGTCTGGTGATCACATGACTACAACTTGTCTAAGGTAAAGTTATTCCTGAAAAGATTCCAAGAAGAAGGGCCCTGACCCGCTGAAGACTCCCACATCCGAACCCTTTCTCCTCATCAGGTTTTCCTAAGGCCTGTGAGAATACCTGCCCCTGACCATGGCATCATCGACCTACGATACAGAATGGAGACTCAGGATGTAGAAGCTGGCAAGACCTCCGTTTCAGGGTGGCACAGATGTCCCTCTCTTGGCACCATAACCCAGCCCCACAGAGCTTTCCTCAGGCCGCTGAGAGCCTCCACCTGTATCCGCCGCCACCGAGATGTTGAGCAGCATCACCCCTGGATGGAGCAGGCTCATGGCTTCAAGCAAGGATGGAACCTCATCTTCCAGGTGTGGTATCCTTTTCTTTTCTTTCCCTCCCAAAGCCTTCCCCTCCCCCACCTCCCACCTCCACCTCCACTGCCTCTGCCAGTTCCAGCGCACTATCATTTCAACCTTCTTGGAGAAAACGCAGCTCAGCGTGGCTTCACCCCTACCAGTGCCCTGCACCCAGCGGGTCCCTGCCCGGTGCTTCCAGGGACACAGCCCTGCTGGCAGGTCCTGGAGAGCTTCCACTGGGCTAACCGGGACTTCTGTGCTCTCTCTGTCGACAACTCTAAGAACCCAGGGAGGGGCCTTGTTTACCAGTCCTTTCAAGGTTCTATCCCCAAACCGGAGGAGCAAGAATCAGTTCTGCCTGGATGGACTACACTCTGTGGTGAAGAACGGATTTGGCCACCGAGGACTTCCTGTGTGAGACACTCCCTAGGCGCTCTGGATATGCTATGTTATCTGCACAACCCCTGCAGTGCCTCGAGGAAGCTGGTTCAAAGAGACGGAGCATCTGGCCCAAGGTCACAGAGCCAGTGGGTGAATTTGAACCTGGGACTCTTAGACCTCAAAGCCTTGCCACTAGATTGGGTGACCCGAGGAGAAAACAAGACCAAAGCAGACTTCTCCCGCTGGCCTGGGTGAGAGGCCGGGATGTGTGTAAAGCCAGGGCTCTCTCTCTCTCTATCCCTCCCTGGGGAGAAGGAACAGCCTGATAAAATACATGTTCAATTATGCAAAGTGGTTCAGGAATGGGGCAGTCTGCTTAATAGTTATCGTATTTCTCATGAATGAATTACCATTTTTAACGGAATCACAATAGCACAAAACACATTTAATACAAACTAGACTGAACATAAATGAGTCTTACTTTGATGGGCCAAAGGCACTTAAGGACGCTGGGGTGTCTCAGGGACAAAATTATGAAGGCCAATGATGACTACGCAACGTAGAAAAAAAATTGGGGTTATTTTAGCTCTTGGGTTGTTTGAATTCTAAATTAGTGGGTTTTATTTTCATTTTTTTAGACACAATTTCTGGGCATCCAAGGCTGAGGTCTGCTGTTAGGCAAAGGAAGGACTGGCTTTGTGAAAAGACAGTGGGGTTATTTGGTGGGCCGAGGTGGGGGCGAGGCAGATACCAGGGCTGACACCCAGATGCTAACTGGGTGCTGCTGGAGAGCCTGGGGTGCTCCTTTCCACTCTCACCCCTTCTCAGAGTGGGGCTGCAGCCCCCACTCCCACATTGCTGTGCGGGCCAGGCAGGCCCCTGGCAAAATGACAGCCAGGTTTCAACACTGTTCCCACAGATTGCTGGGCAGTGGGGAGGGGGTAACTCCATGCTCTGTGGAGCCCTAAGACCCCCTTGCTCCGACCCTGGGTGCTCTGTAGCCAGGCTCCTCCGTGGCTTATCGGCTGCAGCTGTCAGAGAGCCTACAGCAGGCAGCCAGCCCCCTCCCCAGGGCAAGAGTCAGGGCTGGCAATTTGAACATTTTAACCAAATTGTTTAAAAAGCTTTCCTCCTCACAAGCCACTGTCTCCTGCTCAACGCTGTCACAAACAATTTGGTACATAAGCTAATTCCTGCCGGGCGAGCCCAGGGTGGCAGCCTCCTTCCCTTGCCTTAGCTACGATGCGGGTGCATTCGTGTTCTGAATTCTCGCTGGTCCCCAATGCCAGATGGGAAGCTAAGCCACCACTCTGCCTCCGCCCCCACTCTTGGCAGTTTATCCATCCAAGGCCAGGACATGCTGAGTCCAACTAGGTCCTCCCTCCCCCGGCCCTCGTCTCGCCGGCTCTGTATTGGTTGGCTGGCTGCTGGCTTGGTGCCCACTCTCCCCGCAGTGAATACAATCCTCCACGGAGGTGGTGGTGTGTAGGGTTTCAGGACTACTCCTGTTTTCCCGGTGGACAAGAGGAACTGCGCTGGTAGCTGGGGGAAGAAACAGGCTTTCTGTGTTTTTGTTCTTGCTGCTGGTGGAGTCAAGGGTGATGATGGGCTGAGAGCACCCACTGGAGTCTGAAATCCACATTGTTGGCCAGGGTGGGATGGCCTCCCTCTGCAGGTGCAGGGCTCAGAGGGGCCTGGCCCTGTCTGCTTTCCTCACCTCCCTCCATGGTCCATCAACTGCCTTCCTGTGCGGGGGCAGCAGGGCGCCCCCAGGGCTGCTGAGGTGGTAGACATATGACGACTCCTGTCCTTTCTCACTATGGAGCTGTCATGGCTCCCCAGTGCAATCGAGACGCTCCCTGCTCTTCCCAGAGCACCTACAACCATCTGCTACCTGAGGGGAGCGACAGAGCAGTGCTGAGCCCAAGGGCTTGGTTTCAGAGCAGCCCAGGGCCCAAGGAATCCGAGTTGGCCATGAGCCTGGTTGGGTTCAAGTTCCATCTTCCCTATCCCAGCCCCCCCAATCCCATCCCATCACCATCTCCAAACAGCTTCGGATACTATTCACTTCCACTTGCTCCATCCCTTAAAACAAAAGTTGGTCCCTTTTATACCGAAGTCAGTGTACTCCTCAGCTGCTCCACTGTGCAAGCCCACAAGCATGCGACAGGTGTGTGTTAGTTCATGCATCCAGGAAACAAACGCCCGTGCCTCAGGGGGCTGCGCTCTGGGGCCAGGCCTCCTGGGAAGCAGCAAGCTGGCCCTGGGAGGGTGCCATGCCGGAACCGGCTTCACAGTGGCAGGGTGAGCCAAATGTCACCACCCGCCAGGGAACTGGCAACAATGGGATTCCAATGAGTCAGTCTCTGCCTTTCTTCCGAGGCGGGGGGTGTGGGCCGAGAGGGTCTGACTGCTAGCTCTCCCTCCCCACAGGGAGAAGACAGGGGAGGCAGGAACGCCGGGAGGGGGCTGTCACTCAGCCGCTGCTAATTTCTATTCATTAAAACTTTACAAGATGAGCGGAGATGAGGTGACGCCCATGCGTGGGCTTCTTCAGGTGGGAGGGGCGGGGAGAGAGTCAGGCATCTCCGGGTCTGCTGCAGGGTGCAGTACTGTGGGGGCGGGAGTGCACCTGGCACTCCTTGGCTTGAGACCCATGCCAGGGAGGAAGGTGGCATTGCAGGACAGGGGATAGCTGAGCCAAAGAACCCGTGAGAGCTGGTGGCCACTAATGCACCGATCCAGACCAGGGGGTCAGCCGGGATGGGCCCAGCCTGTTGGGGCCGCAGACAAGGGCTCCTATAGGTGTGCTGCCAGGTAAACACTTGGCCCCATGTGCTCTGCCTTGGGCTGTATGGAGGAGTGGTTACGGACAAGTTGAATTGCCTACATTCAGATCCTGGCAATATCACTTCCTGGAAAGTGACTTAACTTCCCTGGGCCTCAGCTTCCTCTTCTATAAAATAGGGCTAATCAGACCTTTACTATGGGGTTAGTGTGAGGATCGAGTGAATAAAGCGTGCAAGGTACCTAGGAGGGTGCCTGGCCCAGGGTAGGACACGGTGAATGGGAGCTGTGATTGGCATCACCTGCACGTTCAGCTGACTGGGCTCAGGGCTGTGAATGACTAGCCAGCTGAGCTGGCCTCTGCCTTCCGGGGTAGCCCGGGGGCTCTCTGAGGCCAGGCCTGCCCGAGAGGCATCAGGAGGGGCCGAGGCGGTGGCAGGAGCACGTTAGTTCACACCGAGGGCACACGCCATGCTGCACTGCACGCCAGGTGCCACCTACTGCACTAGTCGCTCTCGGGCCGGTACAGGTACCGCATCATCAGGCTGTCCACCTCTTTCTTACGCTTCTTCTCCTCCTTCCGAGACGGCCGGGGCGCCTGCCCTGCCTCCTCTTTGTCCGCGGCTGGGCCCTTCTTCACGCTTGAGCGGCTGTGGCCCGAGACCGTAGAGCCGCTGGAGGATGAGGACTCCGACTCCGACTCTGTTCTTCTTCTCCTCGACTTGGACTTCTTCTTGCCCTTTCGCGAGCGCCCCTTTTTCCGCCGCCTGTGCTCTGAGGAATCCTCGGAGCTGGAGCTGGAGCTGGAGCTGGAGCTGGAGCTGCTCCTTCTCTTGCTCCTGCTCTTGCTCCGGCTCTTGCGGCTGCTGCGGGACCGGGACCGAGAGACATCGGCCACAGAGGCTGAGCGGCGGATGCTGGTGGCCTGCTCGGGGGACTCCCGCTGGGCGCTCCGGGCACTCTGGATGCTCTTCCGGTCGTCCTCCTCGGACCCGGGCTCCAGGCTGGTCCGCTGGAACGGGACGGGTTTGTAGCTCAACACCTCATTGATGGCAGCCTCCAGGTCCGGGTCCAGGTAGGAGTGGCGGCTGACAGGGCGGGTGCTGGAGCCCAGAGGCTCCTCCGTGGCGGAGGCCGAGAGGCGT